GGTACTGGTAAAGTGCTCTTGAACATTTATTACTCTGCAAACGCTTTGATGGGACAATCTTGGAGGTCTTTCAGGTTGTCATAATTCAAAACCACCTTGATAGCAGTTAACTAAACAACAAACATGAGTTGCACATTTAATTCACTATTGCTTATAACACAACATCACTTACTACTGAACTAAAGCAGATGTGTCACTAACATTTATAGTGATTGCAGAGTCTAGAGTGTCTAGAGTGGTGCTATTCAAATGTGGTCTGTGGACACAGGTGGCAGTTCGTGTGTCATTGGCTGCCAGTCCAGGATGGGTTTCCAATAAAGAAAGAAACAGGCTAATAGACACACGAGACTAACAAATTAGGGAAATAAATCTCTGCTACATCACATCAGAAAGCCTGAGAAATACTCGTGAAGAGAACATTTGTTATGTTGCTGTGAGTTTGTTGGGCTTTATGGCCAATTCAGAGATAAATTCTACTAAACCTAATGGGATTGCTGTCAAGGAACAGATCATATCCAGCCCATCAACCATCTTTTGATTCATAATCTATTAGTTGTGACATATGTGAGTCCTTTTTTAAATATAGCAGAATCAACAGACCCATTCAGCAAATGCCAGATTTGTATGAAATGTGGTTTATTTGCAAATTAAGCCATGCATTCAAAAAATTTATAGTTAGGAAGTACTGCACTACCTGAAGATTGATATTTTTCAGAGCTGGAAGCATCTGAGCTTATGAAATCCAGATTATTTTCAGTCAAAAGACATAAAGTACAGCGGAAGCTTGGGTACATGTAGGCTTGGAATTCAGGGAATTGTAGTTTGGAGAGGCACCAGCACTTTTTCGCAGAGAAGGTTAAAGACCTTGTAAAACTACAACTGCCAGGATGCCATAGCATTTAACCATAGTAGTTTGTTATGTCAAACTGCATTAATTCTACAGTGTAGATGCACTCTCTGCTGTTAACTTTTGTTTATTATTATGTTGTCATTTTATAATGGTTATTTAATGTACACCGGTATGTGATGCAATTTCTGAGTTTGCACATTTCATTGTTATATGCCATTTTGGATTCTTTTTGGAAAGATTAAGCAGCGTAAACATTTTTAAAAAATTAAGCTTAACATAAGTTAATGGAAGCTGCTTTTTAATATCTCCTATCTGATGAAGCAGGCACTAGTGCAGGAAAACATATGCTATTCATTAATGTGTTCATCTAATCTGATGAAATTAAGCACAGTTAAACCCTCTGTTTTAATAGCCTTAGATATGAATAATCATTATGTATTTGGGCATATTTTAATGCGACTGTTTTTCCCTTTATTGTTTTCATCTATTGTTATTTTTGCTTCCGTTTCACACATGAGAAAGCAAGACTAAGAGATCATAATGTGCTCAGAAGCCAGGTCAATCAATAATTTCATGGCACCAAGCAGAGAAGACCCTAGGTTTCTTGGCTGAGCTACCGAACTGACATGACTTGATGTTCATTTTAGCAGTTTGCTTTATTATGTTTTTATATATTGCATGTATATTTCCCAGTGAAGTTATGTTTTTGGCATCTCTTCCCCATTTTGCCCTAAGAACAACCCTGTGAGGCTGTTGAGAGTGGATTTGGCTCGACTGGCTGCCAATTAGCTTCTGAGCACAATTCAAAGTGCTGGTTTTAACCTACAAAACCCTATACAGCTTGGGCCTGGTTTACCTGTCCGAATGTATCTTCCCCTATAAACCACCGAGGACTTTTAAGATCTTCTGGAGAGGCCCTGCTCTCCGTCCCACCACCTTTGCAGGCACATTTGGTGGGGATGAGAGACAGGGCTTTCTCTGTGGTGCCCCCCCCCCCCCAGCTATGGAACCCTCTCCCTGGCAAGATTAGGTCTGCTCCCTCTCTCCTGTCATTCAGGACGCAGCTAAAATCCTGGTTGTGGAGTCAGGCATTAGCAGATTGACGGATGATTTGATATAGACTAACAGCTATTTGGCCACGATGTTTTGGACTGAGTTGAATGTTGTTTTAATGTGATGAATTGTTTTTATATGTATTTTAGAACTTATTTATTGTATGTTGTTTTATGATACTATTTATTGTATAGCATAATATTGTATAGCATTGAATTTTGCTGTTAGCCATTCTGAATCCCTCTACGGAGGTAGAGAAGAATGGGATACAAAAGTTCTAAATAAATAAATAAAATAATCACCCAGAGAATTTCAATCTGGATCATCCAAAGGTACATCTATAGAATTAATAATTTTTTGTTAACATTAGAAGTACGAATTATTTTAGCTGTATTTTAGCTGTATTTTGTTGTAATGTACACTGTAAATTACCTTGAGTCCCACAGTAGGAGAAAGAAAAGATTAGATACATAAACAAGAAAGTTGTTTACAGAGATCAGAATGGGAGAAAATGTTACAAAAAAAATCAGTTACAAAGGGGATCAACAAAAAGGAGGGAAGGAGAAAGGGAAAGCTTGGGAAGGGGGAGATCTAGATCACCAAGGCAGAAGACTATGGCCCCGTCTACACTGACATATAAAATCCAGATTATCTGCTTTGAACTGGATTATATTGCAGTGTAGATCCAACCTAAAGATACATCAATAGAATTGATACAGTTTGGCACCACTTGCACTGTCATGGCTAAACACAATGGGATCATGGAAGTTGTAGTTTGGTGAGGCAACCACATTCTTTACCAGAAAAGGATCAAGAACCTGTGTAAAACTTCAGCTCCCAGGATTCTACAGAATTGAGTCATGACCTGAAAGTGGTGTCAAACTGCATTAATACTACACTGTAGATGCCCCCCTCGAACAATCTCTGTCTTATACTTTAAGTGTAACAAATGGCATCAGCTGTCAGTTTAAAAAAACTGTTTTCTGTCTGCCTTATTATTTTTATTTCCTTGTGCTAAATATTTGTGGTATTTTGGATCCACAGACTTTTGGACAGAGCAAAAAAAAGACTTGCGTAAAGCTCTGGGGAGTTTGAGCCAATGTTTTTTAACATCCAAATACTTTGCTTTGACAACAGCAGAACTGGCCTCAGACTGAAATAGTGAGGTTTTTCTTTTTTAAAGGGGGAAAGGAGCCTCGTTCCTGGCCCTTTAAACAAGGCAGAGCAGAGAGAAATGTTTACAACAAGGAGGATTTGTGTAGGCTCTCCTACAAATGAATTTCTGTGCTAGAAAAACCCACGAGGAGCAGACTCCCAACTCCAGAAAGTTGTTGCTTTCTCCTTTCCTCGCCTAGTTGCACAACAGCCAGGACTTAAGGGCGTCCGCCTTCAATTCTCTGTTCAGGTCGGGCCTTACTCATTGCATTTCTCTGGGCTGCTGAATGGGCACAAATTCTGCAAAGATATCTACAGTTACACTGTATCTACAGTGCATCTACAGTTACACTGTAGAGAGAGAGAGAGAAAGAGAGACTTCAACTGCCATGGTTTAATGCAGGCATGGGCAAACTTGGGCCCTCCAGGTGTTTTGGATTTCAACTCCCACAATTCCTAACAGCCTCAGGCCTTAAAGCATGACAATACAGCCCGGAAAACTCACAGCAACCCAATGTTTGCAATGTTTGTGTGTTTTGACTGTGCTGTGACCCACCAGGAAGAGGGGCAGGTAAGAAATAATAATAATAATAATAATAATAATAATAATAATAATAATAATAATAATAACAACTACCACCTGTCAGCTGCAAAAGGCCACCCTACTCGGATCTGAATGCATTATTCACCGATATATCACATAGTCCTAGACACTTGGGAAGTGTCCAACGTGTGCTCCAATACAACAATCAGCATAGTGATTTGTTTGTTGTGTACTAATCTTGTTGTTTTTCAAGTAATAGTAACTTGATACATAACAAGATTAGTACACAGAAAACAAAATCACTATGCTGGCCTTGTATTCGCTCACACGTCAGACACTTCCCAAGTGTCTAGGACTGTATGATGTATCGACAAATAATGGGTGCAGATCCCAGTAGGGTGGCCTTTTGCAGCTGACAAATGGTAATTTTGTCAGCACCAATTTTTTTAAGTGCAAGCCAAGGCCTTTAGGCACCGCACCCAGTGTACCCATCAACACTGGGACCACCTTTGCTGGCTTGTGCCAGAGTCTTTGCAGTTCTGTCTTTAAATCCTCATATTGTGTATTATTATTATTATTATTATTATTATTTGAAACACAACAAGATGAGTCCACAGCAGACACTCTGCTGGCTGTTGAATTGGAATTATTATTATTATTATTATTATTATTATTATTATTATTATTATTATTATTTGAATCACAACAAGATGAGTCCACAGCAGACAAGATCACTCTGCTGGCTGATGTATTGGATCACACATCGGACACTTTTGAAGTGTCTAGGACTGTGTGATGTATCTGCGAATAATGCGTGCAGATCCCAGTAAGGTGGTCTTCTGCAGCTGGCAGGTGGTAATTTTGTCAGCGCCGATTGTGTTTAAGTGCAGGCCAAGATCTTTAGGCACTGCATCCAGTGTGCCGATCACCACTGGGACCACCATTACTGGCTTGTGCTACAGTCTTTGTAGTTCGATCTTTAAATCCTCATGTCAGCTTTTCCAGTTATTTATTATTCCATTATTATTATTATTATTATTATTATTATTATTATTATTATTATAAATAGACTTATGCCCTTTAGTCTTTAGTCACTGTCTGCTTTCACAGTGTAGCGTTGATGCAGGTTGACACCAGTTTAACTTCCTTGGCCCAATGCTATGGAATCCTGGGATTTGTAGTTTGGTGAGGCACCAGCCCATTTTGGGAGAGAAAGCAGAAGATCAAGGAAAACTACAACTCTGAGAATTCCATAGCATTCAGTTATGGCAGTTGAAATGGTGGTGTCAAACTGTATTAATTCCCCAGCGTAGGTACACTCTTAGAGACTCGCAGTGTGCATACTCGAAGGTTTCTAGGCAGAAGCAAAGGAAGGCAAAAAGTCAGGACAGGGCATGTCTCTGGGTCTTGCCACCTTAAGGCCGTCCTGGGACTCAACAGAAAGTTCAGCGCAAGGGGTGTGTTTTCTTTCTTTTCTTTTTTTTAAAGTGGGCTGGATCTCCAGGAAATGAGTAAGCTCGAAAGTCGAATTAGTAAAGCTCGCCTTTTCAGAGGAAACAGGCGTGGAGGATGCTAGAGGAAAGCAGAAGGCAACGGGGACCCCGCCTTGAGCCGCCTAACCACCCGGACCAACAAAAGCCAGGCATTTGGGCCAGAAGAAGCTGGGCGCTGTAGGTATCTCTATCCTCTTCTTCGGCTGCTTTTGCGCCTTTCTTTTGTGTCCAAATGAAGCAGCCACGATGGACCGGGGGGCGGGGGTCTACACTGTAGAATTAAGGCAGCTTAACACTCTTTAATTGCCATATGTCTGCATACGGGATGCGAGAGGTTCTTCCTCCCAAGGTTCTTCCTTGGGATTCAAGGGGGGGTCTTAGTTGGGATTCACAACATCCTCTTCTCAAGAGTCACTTAAACAAGAGAGAAGTTCAGTTTTGGTTTTGCTTTGTCTGTGCCTCGCGTATTCATGCTTTCTCAGCAAAAGTTACTTGTGTTGTCTCCTCTTTCGAACAACACACAAAATGATGGTGACCATCGCTTTTGGAATTAGTTGAGGAAGTTCAGGGGAAGCAGCGGAAGAGGAAGCACTTCAAGCAAACCTTCTCTCCAAATCTGTATCTTTTCCTCAGAGAAGAGACAGGATACATTTTACTTGCTGGGTGTTGGAGCATTTCCCCTCCTGTAATTGGTGGCATTCTCAGACCTAACGGGCTGCTCTAAGACGTGCAGAATTAATGCAGTTGGACTTTACTTCAACTGCCTTAGCTCTTCTATGCTATGGGATCCTGGGAGTTGTAGTTTGTTGAGGCTCCAGCACTCGTTTTGCTTATGTTTGTTGTTATGATATTGCAGGGATTGAACTTTCATGTACTTGTATACACTCATTGAGTCAAATAATTCCAAGGACAGGATAGGTTTGCTGTTGCACTCAATTCAAATGAGTCAACAATTAAGACTTCAGTTCTCTACATCCTTATTTGGGAGGAAAGCCTCGTGTCCAGTACAGCATGACTTTAAAAGTAAGCAATGCATCCATACTATTCCAGTGTTTCAAAACAACATAGAATCATAGAGTTGGAAGAGACCTCGTGGGTTATCCAGTCCAACCTTCTGCCAAGAATCAGGAAAATCACATTCAAAGCACCCCTGACAGATGGCCATCCAGCCTCTGTTTAAAAGCTTCAAAGAAGGAGACTTCACCATACTCCGGGGCAGAGAGTTCCATTGCTGAACAGCTCTCACAGTCAGGAAGTTCATCCTTATGTTCTGGTGGAATCTCCTTTCCTGTAGTTTGAAGCCATTGTTCCACGTCTTAGTCTCCAGGGCAGCAGAAAACAAGCCTGCTCCCTCCTCCCTATGAATTCCCGTCATATATTTATACTTGGTCATCACGTCTCCTCTCAGCCTTCTGCAGGCTAGACATGCCCAGCTCTTTAAGCCGCTCCTCATAGGGCTTGTTTTCATAATTTTAGTCCTCCTTCTCTGGACACATACTATCTTGTCAACATCTCCCTTCAATTGCAGTGCCCAGAATTGGCCACAGTATTCCAAGGCAGAATAGAAAATGTCAATGAAAATGAAAAGCTCCAAAGTTTGAAACCTTGGAGAATAACATACCTTTGCCTGAAAATGACAAGATAACAATCAGTCTCTATGGGCTATTTGTCTCTATGGCAAAAGAGTTGTTGAAAGGGATCACCATCAGAAAGTCTCTGTCCCTGTTTTTCACACCTTACATCTAAACAGTAGGATTTTGTTAAAAGGCCTCCATCAATAATCTTCACACAGATGAAGGACATGTAAAATTCTGTACTTACATGCAAGACCCATTAGTTTCTGTTTAATTTCATTTTAAATAGTTATGCCTGGGATGACAATTCTGAAATCCAACTTTATGGCTCTTTTAAGTAAAGGGATTTTTGATTTTGTTCGCTAGAAAGGACTGCCCTCAAAGAGCAAATTATAGAATTATCCTTGAAATGATGTAGGATGTGTGTAGCCCCATCTGCTATCTAAACTAATCCGTTCAGCCTATATTCATGTCAAACCATGAAGATATTCATTAGGTATGCACTATAAGGTTTTGATCCATGAAAAACTCACCTACAATCCTGTGCTCATTTATTTGAACTTATTAACATTCAGATTAATTACAGCCATTGGACTGGAATACACATTTAATTCTAATCCTTTAGGTAATCTATTGCTATTTCCCATTAGCTGGGATGACTTAAAATGTGATTAGATAAAGTCATTAAAACTGAATCAGTCAATGGCTATTAGTCTGTGTCCTTTTCAGATATGGCTATAAATTGATATCTTTGCTAACAGAGATACATATAACCTGTATATTATTTCAATTGACAGCAGGCCATCTTAACCACATATCTCCCAGGAATGAATACACACTATCTTTCTTCATCCTGGAATCATTATTTGTCAAGCAAGAATCAAAAACATAAAACAATCCCTTATGGCACAGTTAGTGTGTTGGCTACAGTGTGTTGTGTGAAATAAGCAATAAAGTATATATTAAATAATACATAAATGAATACATTTAAAGAGATGTGTCATGTCCTCATACATTTTGTTCTTACAATGTATGTATGATGTGTTGTTGAAGGCTTTCATGGCCAGCATCACTGGGTTGCTGTGAGTTTTCCAGTTTGTCTGGTCATGTTCCAGAAGCATTCTCTCATGATGTTTTTCCCACATTTTTGGCAGGCATCCTCAGAGGTTGTGAGGTCTGTTGGAAACTGGGCAACTGAGGTTTATATATCTCTGAATGGCCAGATTGGGACAAAGAACTCTTGTTTGTTTGAGGCAAGTGTGAATGTTGCAATTGGCCATCTTGATTAGCATTGAATGGCTTTGCAGCTTCAAAGCATGGCTGCCCCCTGCCTGGAGGCATCCTTTGTTGGGAGGTGTTAGTTGGCCACATTTGCTTCCTGTCTGGAATTCCTGTCTTTTTTTTTTTTAGTGTTGCTCTTTATTTACTGTCCTGATTTTGGGGTTTTAAAATACTGGTAGCCAGTTTTTGTTCATTTTCATGGTTTCCCCTTTTTTGCTGAAATTGTCCACACACTTGTGGATTTCAGTGGCTTCTCTGTGTAGTCTGACATGGTGGTTGTTAGAGTGGTCCAGCATTTCTGTGTAATCAAATAATATGCCGTGTCCAGGTTGGTTTATCAGGTGCTCTGCTATGGCTGACTTATCTGGTTGAATTAGTTTGCAGTGCTTTTCATGTTCCTTTATTCATGTTTGGATGCTGCATTTGGTAGTCCCTATATAAACTTTGCCACAGCAGCATGGTATATTGTAGGCTCCTGCAGAGGTGAGAGGATTCCTCTTCAGATTTTGTTTCAGCAAAGAACAAGAAGAGGAGATTGTCCTGCAGTGCTAGATGGCATACAGTTGCTTCTCTTGTCCACACCAAAAGGGATAGAGTAATTGCGGTGACCAAGTTCTTCAGAGAGGCAGGTCTTAGTGTTTTGTATGCCAACACCAACGCTTCCTCCTTTTCTCCACTTTCAAATGAATTTTCTTTATCTAAATAAAACTGTCAGATTATGCAAAAGCATCAGCAGAGCTTCACTTTGATAGAAGTTGGAGTGTGATACTCTGAGACAAAGCATCTGGTTCCATGGCAAAAAGATTTCATCAAAACTTCAGTAAACTGATTGGGAATGGTAGGTATTAACAGTAATCTGAAAATAGACAACCTTGTGTAGGATAATAGACTCGATGTGGAGGATTTTGTCAAATCCAGTCAAAACAAGGTATTTCTATAATGCCACACCTGAGAGATCTTTGAGTATGTGTCGTCATGCCTACTTTATCTGATTGATGATCCTTTATCATAGCAAAATCAGTTCTGAGTCTATATCAGGTTGTTTTGTATTTGTTCTGATGTATACAACCAAGAGTTCACAACCTATGAAGGAAACATTGATTTGGACCACTGAACCATGTTTTGCTGGCTCTGAGAACCTTTATGCAGGTCGCACTGCATGAAGCAAAAGTGTGATTACACACAACACTGGAATGGAATGTGTCTTAGGTTAAAATGCATGTCAACAGCTTGAACTTGATACCCTGAATCTCTGACTTCAGAAGTGATAGGAATATAAATGCAACTTGTTAGAAAGCTATAATGGGAAACATCTCATGCCTTGGTTGTAGGCTACTCACTGGTATTTGGCCCTTTGACATCCATGGAACCAGTATTCTTTGAAGCATCTTGTCTGGTTGTCAAAGTAAAAAAGAGATTTGTGGGGTTTTTAGAATATGTGATTGTTATCTCTAACAAGTGAAACCATATTTGTTTATCTAGAGATACCAAACAGCAGAGGTTACTTGTATATTTTCATTTACAAGCAGGCAGTGAGATGTAATATACCACGTGAAATGAACATATCCTCACTTTTTTCTTAGAATGACATTTGTTAAAATAAATGTTTCAATTCTGTGTCCTGTATTAAAAGATCTCGGGGCAAGGGATAGGCACCAAAACAACTTAAAACAGTATATAACTTACAGTTTAAAGCATATATGTAAATACCTCAAAAAATCTAGGCCAGGACTTCTACATCATTTGATATGAAAATGTTTATAACAAAATCTTGACAGCTTTGCTTTTATTAATGGAAAAGGGTTTGAGGGTGCTTAGCCATTATGCACTATGCTCCAGTTGTTTCCTTGAGGTGAACTCCTCTTTGGGTCACAGGCAAGGTTATGATGGTGCTACTTGATGCTGTTATATTTGAAAGACAACCCCACTACGTCCATAGAAACGTACTTCCAAATGTGCTAAAGTTTTAATGCTGGGTGTATTCCGACTGACCATCGGTTAGACGGTGTTCTGTGAACAAAGAGTTCTCCATTGTTTAAAACTGTCTCTTCCATTTCTTTAGTTTCTACTGAACAATAGTCAAGACTCTCCCTGATCTGTTCCTGATAGAGCTTGTCAAAGAGCTAGATAAGCAGATCAAATATCTGCGGTTACATACCTGGAAATATTTGCTTTTAGCTTTTTTGTCTGCATAGTAGAAGTTCAACAGGAGATGATTCCTATAAAATAGAAGTCATCTGTGTGTTTTCTCCAGTTGATCACCTATTAAAGAGGGAAATTGGGATAGGACAATTTCTTTCCCCAGAGCACTCCCTTTGGTTAAAAT